AACCTCCACCCTCCACCCTCTACCCTCCACTCTCCACCCTCTACCCTTCACTTTCCTCCTCCATCTTCCATCCTCCATCCTCCATTCTCCATCCTCCAACCTCCATTCTCCACCCTCTACCCTCCACTCTCCATCCTCCATCCTTTCTCCAGTCCCCATCCTCCATCCTCCAACCTCCATTCTTCACCCTTCAATCTCTCTCCTCCATCCTCCAGTTGAGCCCAATGGCTGCTCTCTGAGAAGTCTTCACTAGTCCCAAGCTCTGCACTGGCTGCAGCCTCCAGCTTGCAAAGCCCAACCAGTTTACACCAGTAAGAGCTGATAGAGGGGGCTGTGAGGTGACCCTTGGCCATTCAGAAACAGGATTTTCTCAGCAACTTCCAAGCTAACATTGCTAAGTTGAGCTTGCACAGCCCAGCAAGCATAGGGCACAGTTGCAGAGGCCAATTCCCCTCTTCCCACCTCCATGCCCAGAAATGTCCCTTTCCCAAGTGGTTTAGAGAACCCCAAATCCTCACCCAGAGATCTGTAGGGGCAGCTCCTGCCCTCTGCCTCAAGCAGTACTGAGATGGAGCAGTAAAGAAGCAGAGTGGAAAGCCTCCGCTGCAGGGAATGGGAGAGAGTGACATTTATAATTGCTTTTATTTTGGGGTGTCCTGTGATGTGCACAGTCCCTTTTAGGGTAGTGCAAGACCTGCTGCATGTCTCCACAGCTGCCCGGGAGCAGAAGCAGCCCCACGGCTTTGCTGAGGACCGTCTCTTCAAGCATCTCTTCACAGGCTACAACCGGTGGTCACGGCCAGTGCCCAACACCTCTGATGTGGTCATAGTGAAGTTCGGTCTGTCAATAGCACAGCTGATCGATGTGGTAAGGTGTCCACGCAGGGATTTCATCCTAGGACCTCTGAGCCATTTCTTCTGCCCTCTATGCTGCTGTCTGTCCCCAGTAGGGGACAAGCCATCCACCTGCCTCCACAAAACCTCCAACAAGCAGGGGACATTGCTCATCATTGCTCCATCCCAAGCTTTCCCTTTCCCTGAAAGCAAGAGAGCATCAAGGAAAACTGCACAACTCTCTATCCCTATTCTTATCTTCCCACCATCTATATCTATAGGGCTATCCCTGGGCTTGTTTTTCCATCCATGCCTTGCTTGTTACTGTCATGCACACCCATCTGTCCGTCCATCCATCCATCCATCCATCCATCCATCCATCCATCCATCCATCCAACCATCCATCCAACCATCCATCCACCCACCCACCTACCATCACAAAACCCCCAGACCCCCAGGGTGCTTGGCACTGAAGGAACCCCCAGGTCCCTCTGGTCCTCCCCCCTGCCCTCCCTGCCCCAAGGGGTCACCCAGAGCAGGGTACCCAGACACTCCCTACTATCTATAGCCTATCTACTATCTGCTACACAGAGCCTAGATAAATCCATCATCTATCTACCCATTCAGCTATCCATATATTCATCTATCCATCCATCTGCCCATTTATCCCTGACATGCACTTGTCTACCCACCAGAACTTCTCCGAGCTTTGCTGCCACAATATGCTATTGTTTGCTGCCATCTAGTGAGCAAATATCCAATTTCTCCTGCACCTTGTGCTGGTGTCGGTTGCTTTAAGGAACTGAACAGCAGAGGCTGAACGGGAGCTCGGCAGCATGAGCAGCATAAGCAGAAGGGTGATATTGGGATTGATGCAGTGTTGGGATGAACCTTCTCTGTCCTTCTCCTCTCATCTCTCCATTTCCCACTGCAGGATGAGAAGAACCAAATGATGACCACAAACGTTTGGCTGAAGCAGGTAGGAGTCTGTGCCATTCATGGGGCCCAGGCTGGAGAGAGTAAAAAGGAGGGGGATGGTATTGGGCAGCTCAGTCCCACCAGACCCATGGTCACCTGGTGCCCTCCTTGCCTCCTTCCAGGAGTGGAGTGACTACAAGCTGCGCTGGAACCCGGAGGACTTTGACAATGTCACCTCCATCAGGGTGCCCTCTGAGATGATCTGGATCCCCGACATCGTGCTCTACAACAAGTGAGATGATGCATCCCTAGGACCAGTCCTCTCATTCCACCTCATCTCCATCACATTCATCCCATGGTATCCCATCCCATCCCATTCCATAATGTCACATCCCATCGCACGACATTCCATCCCAGCTCATCCTATCCCATCCCATTCCATTGGATCCCATCCCATTGTATCCCATTCTATCCCATCCCACCGCACCTCAGCCCATCCCAACACAACCCATTGTATTCCAAATGGATGGAGCTTCTGCCCCTGTTTCCTGAAGGGAACCCTTCACCCTCTCTGTCCCCACAGTGCCGACGGGGAGTTTGCTGTGACTCACATGACAAAGGCCCACCTCTTCTCCAATGGGAAAGTGAAATGGGTGCCACCCGCCATCTACAAGAGCTCGTGCAGCATTGATGTCACCTACTTCCCCTTCGACCAGCAGAACTGCAAGATGAAGTTTGGCTCCTGGACATATGACAAGGCCAAGATCGACCTGGAGAACATGGAACACCACGTGGACCTCAAGGACTACTGGGAGAGTGGCGAGTGGGCCATCATAAACGCCATTGGCAGGTACAACTCCAAGAAGTACGACTGCTGCACTGAGATCTACCCAGACATCACCTTCTACTTCGTCATCCGCCGCCTCCCGCTCTTCTACACCATCAACCTCATCATCCCCTGCCTGCTCATCTCCTGCCTCACCGTGCTGGTCTTCTACCTGCCCTCCGACTGCGGTGAGAAGATCACACTCTGCATCTCCGTCCTTCTGTCCCTCACCGTCTTCCTGCTGCTCATCACCGAAATCATCCCCTCCACCTCTCTGGTCATCCCGCTCATTGGCGAGTATCTCCTCTTCACTATGATCTTCGTCACGCTCTCCATCATCATCACTGTTTTTGTCCTCAATGTGCACCACCGCTCCCCCAGCACCCACACCATGCCCCACTGGGTGCGTAGCTTCTTCCTGGGCTTCATCCCCCGTTGGCTCTTCATGAAGCGACCCCCTGTGCTGCTCCCTGCTGAGGGGACAACGGGTCAATATGACCCTCCGGGGACCAGGCTCAGCACCTCCCGCTGCTGGCTGGAGACCGATGTGGATGACAAGTGGGAGGAGGAGGAGGAGGAAGAAGAGGAAGAGGAGGAAGAGGAAGAGGAGGAGAAGACGTATCCCAGCCGTGTGCCCTCAGGGGGATCCCAGGGCACCCAGTGCCGCTACAGCTGTGGACGCCAAGCGGGCAAAGCATCAGGGGGCCCAGCCCCACAGGTGCCCCTCAAGGGGGAGGAGGTGGGCTCTGATCAAGGGCTGACACTGTCACCCAGCATCCTGAGGGCCCTGGAGGGTGTGCAGTACATCGCGGACCACCTGCGAGCAGAGGATGCTGACTTCTCGGTGAGTGGGGGGCAACTGAGGGCAGGGAGCAAGGGGGACTCCCCAACCCAGTGCTCCCTCCATGGGGGTCAGTGATGGGGATATCTGGTTGTATCCATGCATGCTGAGGGCCTTAGTTCAGGAGATCTATGATCACCCCCTGGGAAATAAGGGCTGCACTGAGCAACATGGCCTAGAGCAGTCACAGCAATTACAGGCGTGGTCAGGCTTGATGGTCTTAGTGCTCTTTCCAACCTTAATGATTCTATGATTCTATGAAATACGGGTTCTGCCAGGTCAGCTCAATGTTCCTCAGGCTGCAGGGTGCAGGATGCCCCTCTCCCAGCCACACTGCTCTACATAATGTCAGTATCCGTCACCCAGCTCAGAGCCTTCACCCCAACCCACAATTTGGGAACACCTGGGTGGGGTTTGCTGTGCCCCCAGAAGCCTCCCTGTAGAGATCCATCCCCACACCTTATGCTTGAGACATCTCCTAACCCTTGGAGGCTTCACCCTCTACCCACAGCTCACAGCCCCTCTCCTCCTGGCAGGTGAAGGAGGACTGGAAGTACGTGGCCATGGTGATAGACCGCATCTTCCTCTGGATGTTCATCATCGTCTGCTTGCTGGGAACCGTGGGGCTCTTCCTCCCACCCTACCTGGCAGGGATGATTTAGGGATCAGGGGGTAATGTGGGTACCTCTCACAGCATCATGACCATGGAGGTCACTTGGGTGGAACATGCAGCAGTGTGGGGGGAAGCAAAAGGTGTGCTGGGAGTGCCCTGCTTCCTGCTGTCCTGCTCACGGTGGTGGCCATCCTGGCCTCAAGGAAAGCTCGGCACAGCCTCTCCACCAACAAAACGTGGGATGGAGGGATCTAGAAGAGGCATCCACTTCCTTCAGCTGCTGCAGGTTCCATCTGGAACCCAAGGGACACATCTGGTTGTGACTCCAAGAGAGGATATCACAGCTGCTTCTGGATGCATCCTGCCTCAGGACCACAGCCAACACAATGTGGGGCAGGACACAGTGCTTTGGGCTGTGACAGCAGGAAGGGGCAGAAGTTCCTGCTCACACTACGCAGCTCAGGGGCTCTGCTCTTCTCTGCTCTGCAAAGCCCATCAGCACAAGCAACCCACGTGTGTGCTGGTGGGTTCGTCAGCACAGGGATCCTGGGCAAATTGTCCTCTCTATCCTATACCTGCGATAACAAGCAGATCCCCAACCCCCTCGCTTTGATGACTGCTGCAACCCAGCTTTAATTTCTATCTTCCATGCATCCTCAAGGACTCGTGCTTGCAAAGATCTACTCTTATCTGTGCCCCAAAGCCAGGCTTTCCCTGTGGGGTTTTTCCGCCAGGAGACCAACCCAGGAGCTGGATGTGACCTGACGGGTTTCAGAATACACTCTGTGCTATCAGGAGTGAAATGGGCTGGAATAAATGATGCCACTGAGAAAAATGCACATCCCAAGGGTGTTGCAGCTGCTCATGCATTCTCTGCTGTGTGCACACAGGGCTGAGATAAAGGATGTGGGATGTGCAAGGCAGCAAGCTGTATGTATGCATGGGTCTGTGTGCATCTGACCCAACACATCTCAGTTTTGTGGCTCTGCAGAGCCTGGTATGCTCATCTCCTCTCCACATCAGCCCTTCTAAAATCCTTGCTGGTTGCCTCCAGAACCAAAATCCCTCTTTCAGCAAAGCTCTGCCCGGCTGGGGATGGAGCAGAAGCTCTGGAGTGAACGCCAGTGTGACACAGCAAGCACCCCAAACACCCTTCCCTATGGGGCACCCATCCTCTTGACTGTACTGTTCCCCAGAACGTCTCCCAGCTGCCTCCACCCTGAACTTGCCATGATTTCCTGATGCTCTTTGAAAGGCAAAGCACAAATATCCAAAAATAGTTCCGCTTAGCAAGACTTGGGATTGGAACAGGGAGAGTGGCACCTTGCATGGATTTGGGAGTTGGTGGGGCTCCACAGCTGGCAGATCCAGGTTGGATATTAGGAAACATTTCTTCTCCAAAAGAGAGCAGTGCTGCAGTGGCACAGCTGCCCAGGGAGGTGGTGGGGTCACCAAACCTGGAGATGTTCCAGAACCGTGGGGATGTGCACTGAGGGACAGGCATGGGGGAGTGGGTTGGGGTTGGACTCGTGGATCTTGGAGGTCTTCTCCAACCTGAATGATTCAATGGTTTTATGACCAGAGGTGAATAAGAGACACCCTTGCTGCAGGGTTCTGGAGTCCAGCCTGCATTCTTTTCCAGGAGAGGGGGATGTCAGCAAGCAAAGGCACAGCAGGACTTGGTGCATGGTTTATCTCAGCCAGCGCAAGCAGCGTTGTGGGAAGATGCTGGGGAAAAGCCCAAACCGTACGAATTCCAATTCAAGCACAAACCAAACAGAGAATTTGTTGCTGTTGTCGTTTACATGGAGTAGCTTGGAGCAAATTCAGCTGGAAGAGGCCCCATCCTCCCGACTGATTTGTGGCACTGACGGCTGCGGGCACAAGGACCCATCCCTCCCACACTCCCCTGGCTGGGGCTGGACGTGAGAACCGACCCGACGCACGCCCATCATTAAATAAACTCTTCTATATAATGTACAAGGAATTGCAAACAGTCCCTCCAGCGAGCCCCTCCCGGGAAGCCAGCTCCCCTGGTCACTGTGTCCCCAGCTCCCAGCACTGAGCAGCAGGGCGCAGGTCCCCAGTTGGATGTGCTGTCCCTGGAAGGGGCCATGGGACGGACATGGGGACCCATTGGATAGACACATGGACCCACTGGACAGGCCCATTGGGAACACTGAATGGACACACAGCCCTGTTGGTGCCACCGAACCCAAAGGGACCTTCATCCACCCTTGGGGACAGCCAGGCCACCCCCAGTCCTTTGGAGGGATGCGTCACCAGGCACCTCCTTTCTTCAGAAGACTGATGAGATGATGCTAAAGACACAAGCAGCTGCAGGAGGAGGGGGACATGGAGGACAGGGCGGCGAGGCCACGGGAGACACACAGAAGCCAGCTCGTCCGCACCGCTCTCCTCCCATCGCTACTGACCAATGCGGCGCTGCCTCTCCTCCTCTTCTCCTTCCCCACCCCTTCATATTCCCTCACTCCACGCACAGCTTCACCAGGTTGGCCTGGACCTTGGCTTGGTCCACAGCGTCCAGCAGGTTCTTGGCGTCCACAGCCAAGGTATGGGAGGCCGTCAGCATCTGCTTCTTGCACTCCTCGCTCAGCGAGGTGACGGCGTTCTGCTGTGCCAGGCGCATCTTGTTTATGAGCTCAGCCAAGTCCTTGTTGAGCAACTTCTGGGTCCCTTCAATCTGGCCATGACGTGCAGAGGTTATAGCTGGGGGTGTCCCCAAGCCCCCTCCCCCATCCCCATCCCCACAGGGCGTGCTGCAGCCCTACCTCGGTGCGGGAAGTGGCGGGCAGGATGGGCAGGATCTCATCCACGCTGCCGATCAGCTTGCGGAGGGACAGGCCCACGTTCTGTGGGGTGAGTGGTAGGGTTAGAATGGATCCAGGCACCAGACAGTGGTGCACAGTCCCTGATGCTGATTTAAGGATCCCAGTGGGGAGAGAAGAATGGGAGGAAATGCTCCCCTTGGACTCAAGGACCCAATGGAGGAACAGGGCGTACTGGAATTGATACCTGGACACAAAGATGTGTTGGAAATGCTCTTACCATTGGTCCAAGGACTCAACAGAAGAAAAGCGTGGTGTATATTGGAAATGCTCTCCCATTGACCAAAAGAAGGAGCAGGATATATTGGAGGTGCCCCCATCGCTGACCCAAGGATGTAACAGGATCAGGATATATTGGAAATACTCTGCATTGACCCAAGGACCCAATGGAGGAGCCAGACATGTTGGAAACACTCCCACTCTTGACCCAAGAACCCAAGGGAGGAGCACAGCATGCTGGAATTGCTCCTACCACTGACCCAAAGACTCAGTGGAGGAGCAGGGCTCATTGGAATTCCTCCTGCTATTGGCGCAAGGATACACTGGAGGAGCAAGACATGTTGGAAATGCTCCTCTACTGACACAAGGTCACAGGGAAGGAGCAGGGCACGTTGGAAATTCTCCTGTCATTGACCCTAGGAGCCACTGAAGGAACAAGACATCCTGGAATTGCTCCCACCATTGACCCAAGGACCCAAGGTGTGTTGCTAATGCTCCCTCCTATACATGTAAGTCTTTCCATAAAGGATTCTTGGTGGGAGCTGCTCAGCAGACTGATTCCCAGCTCCCTTCACGATCCCTGCAGGAGGCTTGCTTTCCCTTTGTTTCCCCTACCTTCACCACTAGGATGTATCCCTCTGGGGGCAGCAGGCTGATCTCATTCTTCAGCTGCAGGACAGCTCTCACCAGGTCCATGACATTGCTGTACACCGTGTCATCCGTGCGGTCCAGATTGGCAGTGGGAGCTGGCTGGATGGACTGGCAGAGAACAGGGCTGTGGTGGGCTCAGGACAGCAAGGGAGCACGAAAGGAATAGACCAACATCGGTGGAGAGCCCTGGCCAGTCTCTGCATCCCAGACCCATCCACCTCCCACCCGCAACTTGGACACTGCTTAGTTGGTCCAAGAAGTCCTATCTTGTAGATGAACAGAAGTAAATGGTTGTGGAGGAAGACTTGGACCACAGTGGCTGTCTGAGGAAGTCTTACCTGTGCCCCAAGTCTTGGAGGCTTCTGGGGGGGGGGCCGTGAACTCCGCTACACCATCAGTAAGGGAAAGGAAGGAGAGTTACTCTGGATGCTCCCTGGACGTGTGTGCATGTTCCTCATGCCCCACACCACTCAGGACACCCCAATTTGATGCAGCTGTATGCCACCTCCCCTCCACCATCAGGGCAAGGAAAAGGGGATGCCTGCAGCTCAGCCCCCCATTTGTGGAACAGGCAGAGCCTTTGGGGCAGGCAGAGTCACTCGTGGTGATGATCTGGGATTGCTGGAACAGGGCTTGTGCAAAAGGCAGCGGGGACACTCACTGTAATCCATCTCCTTCTCCGGGAGCAGCTGCAAGGGAAGAAACAGCAGCAAATGAGAGGTGGGAAATCCTGTTCAGAGGGGCAAGAGCCAAGGAGGCATTGCCTCAGGGTGGAGGCATCCACTTTCCAGAGGGCTTCAGGGGGCAGGTGTGGACTGCAAGCATTGTACCCCATTAAGAGTTTTGGACAAGTTTTCTGCAACTGGGGGACAGGGATTCCCCAGCATGACAACAGAAAGCAATTTGATCCCAGCAATCCCTAAATGCTTCCAAGAGAAGGGCTGGAAAAGGGCAGCGGGGACCATTGCAAGCTGTATGTATCTTCTGCCCACCCCCAGGAGAAGGGCCCCTCTGCAGATGAATGCAGTCAACAGGGTTCTCTGGGGCTGGCAGCACTCACCAGAGCAGTGTTGTTGTTCATGAACACTGTCGGGTCCTGAAAAAGGGGAGAAGGTTTGTGAGAGGTGATGGGAAAAGGGAAAGATAAGGGAAAAGGGAAGGAAAAAGAAAAATGGGGACCTCCGGAGAACTGTTCCCTTCCCTCTACTCCCTTCATGGCAAAACTTTCCCAAATTCTGATTCTTTCATCCCAATTCCCAACAGAAGAAGAAGCATTCCCCCCTTCATTTTGCCCAACATCATCCAGGAAAATCCATCTCTGATCTTCGGAGACCTTTATGGGTCTTCCAGAAGTCCCCAAATGCACACCCCAGGAGCATGGCCCATCTCTGCAGCCCCACAGCCCCCCATGGCCCTGTCCCTGTCTTCATCCCTTCCATGGGGCACCAGGACCCCGAGCTGCTGCTCCCCAAAATGCTGCTGCAGCACCAGAGCTGGGCATTGCTCCACGGCTGCGTCAGTCATGCTAATAAAAGATTTTCCATCTTGCTGCCGCTGGTGCATTAGTCACACATTAGCTACCTTGATGCTGGCTTTAAAAAGCATTATAAAAGCTCGTGAAGACGCAATGGTGTTTAAAAAATTGTGCAGCTGTTGAAGCGTTTGCTTCCCATCGCAGCTCGGCGAGGTGCAGAACACAGAGAGGTGTGAGTGGGTTGGTGATGGGGGCTGCCCTGACACCTCCGGCTGTGCACAAACCGCTGGAGCTGCACACCTGCTGTGAGACCTGCAGCGTGCTGCAGTTGTGGTTATACTGCATGAAGCGAGCTGCAGCTTGGTGCATGGTGGCAATGCGAGAGCTGGGAGCACCCAGCCCGAAGTCTTGTCCCCAACCCAGTGTTACCCACCAGGGATTTCTCCTCCTGCCTCAGCCATTGGTAGTCCTCCACCATCTGCTTTTGCTGCTTGTCCAGCACCTGCCGCATCTTCAGCCTCTCCATCTCCCACAGCTTCTGTGCCTCTTCCCTGCTGCTGGGACGCAGGAAGTCTTCCTCCTGGCACATGGAGCAGGCAGAGATGGGGGGAGCTCAGCACCAGGAGCCTCCCCATGCGGTGTCGGCACAGCTCTGCACATGCAAAGCCATGCTCTGGACTCCTGGGCATGCAGCTCAGCACCAGAGCAGTGCATTCTGCCTTCGGTGCAGATGCTCACAGTGCTGGGATTGTGTCAAACCATCCAGCAGATCATCACCAGATGCAGAGCAACACCCTGCCCCTGATTCTGGGGCCATGCAGTGGTGCTGAAGATCTAAACGCCAGAAGACAACGCTGCAGCCACCCATCCCCAGAGCACCCCAGCTGGATTTTGGGTACTCCATGCCAGCATCTCCTCCACCACCACACCTCCACTTTGGTGTGCATGCATGCAAACATCATGGCAGCCCTTCCAGCCTCAAGCAGTGCAGCGCAGGATCGGGTACACGGCTGGAAGCAGCAGCAGCGCCAAGCACAGAGCGTTCCCCCGCCGAGCCCCTTCCTCGGCGCGGTCCTCGTGACGCCTTCGGCTCCTTCTCTTACCCGCATGCTGTGGCGCTTGAAGACGTGGTGGCGGTGGAGCGGAGGGGTGTGCAGGGAGCTGGCTGGAGACTGGTACTCGGCGGGGCTGGTGAGGGTGGGTGAGCTCGCACACAGACCCTCGGGCACCTGTGGCAAGGCGGGCACGGGACAAAGCCATGGGAGCAGGCAGACAGACGGACACATGGACAGAGCAAAGAGTGTGGGACAGGGGCTTTCACAGCAGAACATCACAGAGGAGCAGCATAGGATCGTCTTTACCACAACGCTTGCTCCCAAACCTATGCTCCTGCCCAAACCCCTGCCTGGCTCCAAAAAGCATCCAAGAGTGTAGGGATGCTCCAAGGAACGGTGCAAACTCAGCTGCAGGCAGCACTAGAGTGCAGCAAACCTCCTTTCCTTGTGGCTGTGCATACACATGGGACTGCGAGAGCGTTGCCAAAAGGACGGGGGAGCACTGATAACAGAATGGGAAGAGCATTGCAAACAGGATGGGGGGAGCATTGCCAAGGGGAGGAGGGGAGCTTTGCAAACTGCCCTGCCCTGGGACAAAAGCCACTCTTGGAGCTCTGAGGCAGAGACAAGGCCCAAAGCAGCGCGCTGTCCTGCTGGCACTTGGTGGCTCTGAGACCCAAAAGCCACCAGCTCTGAGGACTGGAGCTCTGGGCACATCTTCCTGGGAACAAGCCCTTGTGTTCCCCGTGGATCGCTTGGGGCATACAGCCTTACCTGGAACTGCAGCTTGGGTGCCAGGAGGTTGCTCTGGGGTGGAGGTTTGTACCTGGGTCTGCTGGGCTGTGGGAGTGGAGGGAGAAAGGTGAGGGGGGTGCAAGCAAGGAGACATTTTGCCCTGCAGCATTCTGCCCATGTCCCCACCTTAGGGGGCGGCTCCTGGGAAGTTGGTGGCTCCATGATTTTGGGAGGCCGGTGGCGGTTGTTCCGCTCCTGCTCCTTGGCCAGCTCCTTCTCCATCAGGTAAATGTCACTGCAGGGGGACAGAGAGGGGACCTCAGTGCCATGCCCTGATGCAGGGAGATGAATGGGATGGGTGGGTGGAGGAGGAAGGTGCCCCAAAATCTCTCCCATTACCTCAAGCTGCAAACCAGGTCCTTGAACTTGGGCCTCTCGCTGGGGTCGTAGTCCCAGCAGCGTGTCATCAGGGTGTAGAGGATGGGTGGGCAGAGGTCGGGCTTGGGCAGGCGGTCGCCCCTCTCCAACACCCCGATCACGTCCTTGTTCTCCAGCCAGAAGAAGGGCTGCCGGCCATAGCTCAGGATCTCCCACATGCACACGGCTGCAAGGTACAGGGGAGAAATCATAGATGGTGCCAGTTACCAATCTAGGGACCATCCCCTTGCCCAAGGTTTTGGGGACCTGGTGACAGAGCTAGGCTCTGGATGTTTTCAGGGAGTAATGTTTAATCCAGATCCTTGAGCATCTCAAATTCAATATGCCCTCAATGATGGTTGAGCATCTTGAATGCAGAATGCCTCCAGTGATGGTTAAGCATTTCGAATGAGGGATGCCCCCAATGGCAGTTGACATCTTGAATGTGGGATGCCCCCAGTAATGGCTGAGCACCTTAAATGTGGGTTGCTCCCAATGATGGTTGAGCACCTCAAGTTTGGGATGCCCCCAGTGATGGTTAAGCACCTTGGATGTGGAATGTCCCCAGTGGCAGCTAGAATCATAGAACCATAGAATAACCAAAGTTGGAAAAGACCCACAGGATCACCCAGTCCAACCATACACTGATCACCAATAGCTCTCACTAAACCATGTCCCTCAACACAAAGTCTAAACGTTCCTTGAAAACCTCCAGGGTAACAGGTTGACATCTTGAATGCAGGATGCTTCCAACGATGGTAGAGCATCCCAAATTGAGGAGTTGGAACTGCAAAGGTTCTGCTCCAGGAGCCTTTCCCCAAGGCATGGCCACACCAAAGCAGGATATGTCCCTGCGCACCATGATGCTGCCCCCAGATGTACCCAGGATCCGTCCCACCTCCATCCCACTGCCTACCAAACATCCAGACATCACTGGCTGTTGTGAAGCGTCGGAAGTTGATGGACTCAGGGGACATCCACTTGATGGGGAGACGAGTGACAGACGCTGGAGGGACAGATAGATGGCAGCCATGCTCACGGCTGCAGATGGGCTGACACAAGCCCACATCCTACACTGCTTTACCTTTATAGTACTCCTCATCCTCGATGTACCTGGAGAGCCCAAAGTCACCCAGCTTCACACACTCTGGGGATGCCACCAGGATATTCCTCACTGCAATGTCCCTGCAAGGACAGTACTTTGACTGGGAATGAGGGCTGGACCATCACATCCAGAGAAACCAGCTCCTCTGGCTGAAAAATGATCCTGTAAGGGGTGCTACCAGCTCCTGCTGCTGCCCTGCTGCTCCCACCTCACCTGTGCACACAGTTGATGGCCTCCAGGTACGCCAAGGCTTTGCTGATCTGCAGTGCATACAGGACGAGCGTGGGCACAGCGAGGCAGTGCTTGTTCTGCTCCAGGTATTGACCCAGCTGCAAGAGGACAGGTGGGGGGCTCAGGGGCTGAAAAGTAGCACCAAGGTGGGGGAACAGCCCCCAGCAGCATCAGCCACCGCACCTCCCCATAGGGGTACAGCTCCATGATGATCCACGTGGGTTCTTCCTCTGCAATGCCAATGAGCTTCACGATGTGGGGGTGGTCCAACTTCTTCATCAGCACTGTGGGGAGACCCGGTCACAGGTTCCCTACCACAGGGGAACCTCCAGCAGCCCCAACCCCACCAGGGGTGCAGGGGAAGCTCTGTGACATGCAGACAAGAGCCAGAGCAGCAGGAACAGCCAGGGAGCTCCTGCTGTCCACAATAGGGTTCCAATGGGTTTACGCACAGACGGTGCCCACCTCCCCTCACACAAGATTCCAGCAGATTTCTTCCCCCAAAAGATCTGGGGAAACCCTGTCACAGCACAGAGGGTATGGGACCCCTTCTTCATCCTGCTCTGCATTGCAATAACATACCTGCCTCGCTCAGGAACTTGTCCTTGTTCTCGGGGCTGCAGTCCTTCTTGCACGTCTTCACAGCCACATTCACCCTCTCCCCTTTCTGCAAGCAGAGATGGGGGCAGATCAACCCCACTCCCCCCGGGGAAAAAAGGAGGTGGGTGGGATGGAGGCAGCACTGCACACCCACCGGGTTGGTGTAGGTGCCCTCGTACACCTCGCCGAAGAAGCCTTCGCCCAGGATCCTTCCCAGTGTGATGTCCTCCCGGCAGATCCCGTAGTGCTGGGCTGAGAGGAAAGGGTTGCACTGGTGGGCATTGGGGCATGGGGAGCTGCTCGCACCCATCCCTGTGCTAAGAGGGAGGGTTTTGAGTGCACATCTGCTCCATCATCCCCTTGGCCAAGACAGAGACCCATGGGTCCTGCTCCATAGTGTGCACCTCCAGGAGGTAAGGTGGGCAGAGTGGGCAAAACTTAGACCCCAGATCTGGTGGGGTTGGGGTGGGGAGTGGAGAAGGGGAAGGAGAAAATATGAAGATGGTGAGCATAGGAAGATGGTGGGCATAGGGAGATGAGATGATGGACACAGGGAGAGGAGATGTATGGCATAGGGAGATGATGGACATAAGGATTGGAGATCATGGGTAGGGTGGGCAGAATGGGCAAAACACATTTTGGCACTGTTGAAGATGGGGTGGGAAACTGGGACAAGCAGGAGGAAGGGGAGAATAGGGAGATGGTAGCTGGAGGGAGATGGGCAGGAGGGCACCCAAGGGGTGACACCCACCTCCAGATCTCGGGCGTGAGGTCTCGTCAGGGATTTCAGCATAAATCTCAGAGTCTGGAGCAAGAAGAAGGCAGCAGGCAGAGATGCAACCAGGGAAAGCCAAAGTGCCCATCCCAGAGCTCCCCACCCACAGTCCATGGAGGGGATCCCCAACTCACCAACGCTGAGGCTGTCAGACACAGCAGAGTGTCGCTCCTCCAGGTGCCTGCAGGCCGGAGGAGGTTGGGGTCAGCGAGCAGGGCACAGTGGGGCAGGGCAGGGGTCCCAGCACCCCCTGCAATACTCACGGGATGGGAATCCGTGGAAGGCTGCTCCTCTTCTCCCTCTCTGTGGGAGGACAACAGGCAGTCACATCCCAGCTGGACCCCAGGGGGTGCAATTGTGCATCCTTCCAATGCAGACAAGGGGCAGCCACCCCCCTGCTACCCAGCAGCTCCCCATGTTGTCAGGGAAGGCGTTAGGCCAACTCTTGCTATGGAACTGCCACCACCCCTTCGCTAGAGGTGAACTGGGTGCAAGCACACATGCAGAGCGTGTGCAGGGTCTCAGGTTGGGCTAACGGCTGGGAAATTGAGGATGATGTTGTAGCTCCAGAGAAAGCCCTCGGAGCAGGGGAGGAAGGCATGGAATGGGGCATGGATGGGCTGCCAATGGGGCTTGGTGGGGACATCCAAAGCAGGAAGGTGCCTGCACCTATAGGTACCCATAGACAACTCACCTCTCCTGGGGAAGACGATGAGCGATGTGTCCAGGCCCCCTTGCAGCCGGCAGTAGCCATCAATGAGGTCAGCCATGTTCTCTGCCTCAGCCAGAGACGATGTTTTGATGGCCAGGGACTAGGGCAGGTGATAGGGACAATAAACAGAGGCTGTTTATTGCCTCCAAATCCTGGAGCTCAGGGTATGTCCCCTCTTCTGCACCTTGGGATGATTTGGGTACCACCTCCCCATATCGTACAGCACCATCTCACCTGGCACCCCATCCTCAACCCCATCCCCTGGCAGGGCCACTCCAGACATTTTGGTGGGGACCAGAGCACCATCATGGCCATGGCTCTAGGAAGGAGCCCTAACCCTAACCTTAACCCTGACCCTAACTAACCCTAACCTAACCCCCAGTGGGAATGGGGCTGTCCGTTGCAGGGACAAGACACCAACCCATGGCCATTCCCACCCCACCTACAAAATCCTGCAAATGTCCACCCCCAGTGCCAAAGCTGCCTCACCTGGGGGGTGCCGCTGAGCCCCAGCTGCAGCACAGCCTGGCCGTCCTCCACGCTGGAGCACTTGATGGATTTGATGTGTTTGAACTCGGCCAGGCAAGTGGGCTGCAGGCAAAAGTGCAGTCAGACCCCAGCATTTGCCCTGGGGGTGTCCTCACCCCTCTGGACCCCCCTACCTTGGCCTCCTTGCTTGTCATCTGCCGGATGCCCTTCGGCCCAATGACAAGGTCCACTGTGATGTTCCACCCTTGCTGTGCATGGGACAGAGGGAAGATGCACATTTTGGGGGGATTTTCCCCAAATCCGTCTCTCCCCTCCCCACTGTGATGCCTGGGAGAGGCAGCGCACACCCACCTTGATTGCCTGGGTGCAGCAGCAGCCCCCAGCAGTGCCCCCAGCCCCAAAAAGACCCCAGTGCACCCTTCACCATGCACTCACAATGAGCTCACAGCGATAGCTCTCCTGGTCAATGTTGGCAAAGGTGGAGAGTGTATGCAGGAACTTGAGGATGCACTCCTCCTCCCGCAGCAGCGCGTACTGCTGGAACGTCTGCTGGATCATCTTGCGGAACTGCTTGGGCTGCAGGCAGAGCAGAGACGTGGTGTATGCCATGGGGTGCACACAGACGTGCATGCACTCAGCTGCAGACATGCACATGCATCTGCAAGCACAACCATGTGTGCACACACACATGACCACCCCCAGGCACTGACACGTGCATGCACACCCAGCCTGCACCCAGAGCTGCCCGTCGCAGACAATCAGCCGTCCCCATGTGCACGTCCCTCACCTTCAGGTTCTCCTGCATCTGGCTGGGGAAGAACAGGTCCAAGCCCACCTCCTTCCTGCAGAGCAGAGACCATGCACATGTCAAAGGCCACGTGCAGACTGAGAACACGTTGGGGGCTGCAGCAACAAAGCAGGGGATGCACGGTGCAGCAGGGCTGCTCCCAGCACAGGGCTGCAGAATGAGCTGTGCCTACTCACTCCAGGAACTCGAAGTTGGACTTCTTATCCAGCGCATTTTGGGGCATGTCCTTGTAAAACCTCCTGCAGGAAGGGACAGTTGTTTGTGCATCCTCGTGCACCCCTTCTCCTGCTTCCCCCCAGGACTCTGCCCCCCGAGCTGGGTGCTGCAAGCCCCCCTCCTGCTCCCGCTCCCCAAGCACCCAGCAGCACGTACCTGAGCTCGAGGCAGCCCAGCTGCAGGGCCATGCCCTCGCTCACCTTGCTGGCGTAGTTCTGCATGTACTCGCTGCGGAGCTAATGGGGAGAAACAGAGCTCAGGGGGTGGGGGAAGAGGTTGGGGATGCTCACAGGGGTGCATGAGCTTTGGGATCCCTCCTTGGGGTGCGCTGGGCTGGGGAAGAGGTGAAGCCCAGCGATGCCAGGGGTGGGTAGGGGGCTCTGGAGAACCTGCTGGTAGAAGTAGAGAAGCGTGGTCCTGTCCTCTAAGAAACGCTCCATGTAGTCCTCAGGCAGATAGCGGATCTGCAGGTCGTACCTGGGGACACAGCACTGAGCTGTGGGGGGGCACACAGAGGGACCCCCACCCCGTGCCCAGGTCCCCATCCCCTACCTCCACTCGGCCTCCAGGTGCAGGCACTCGTACTTCTCCTGCACCTCGCCCACCGTCAGCTCGGGGTGCAGCCAGTGGATCTCGTCTGACTTGACGTGCTTCAGGCGCAGCCCGTAGCACTCGGACAGATGGATGTTGGGCCCGATGCGGCCGCTCACTAGGATGGATCTGATCACCTCCTGGGGGCAGGGATGCAGCAAGCAGGGCTCAGAGCCCTGCAGCTCCAAGGGCTGACCCCACAGTTGCTGTGGTTTCGCCCTTACAAAGTACCGTGTCCTCCCATGCCTCTCAAATACAAACTGCCCCTGTGAAAGGGACTCGATCCCAAGCCTTCACGTTCTGCATGAGTCAACAGATCTTAGAAACGAGGAGGAAATGTTACAAACCCACAGTCCCTTTGCAAGACCACAGCCGCTGTGGTCTCCACCTGATGTTCCGGAGATGCCTTCAGCCCATCCTACACCAACCCACAGCTTGCACGTCTCACCCGAGCTCTCTGGTGTGTTGTAATGAGGAGTAAAAGCCTGATCAGATCGTTTCCCCCCTTGTACCTCAGCAGAGCTACCCCTGATGCATAGCATCAGCTGCAGCATGCAGAGCATTGGGTGTCTGCAGTAGTGTCTGAGGACAGCAGGGACACTTTAGGACAGAGGTGATGGCTTCAGCTTGCACCAAGGGAGGTTCAGGTGTGATATTAGGAAAAAATTATTCTCCAAAAGAGTGGTGATGCATTGGGAGAGGCTGCCTAGGGAGATGGTAGAGTCCATCCCTGGAGAAGGGCAGGGGAGGTCTCAGCATCTCCCCATGGATGTGGCCCTTGACATGGAAACATCACACCACGCATGCAGGGAGATGCTGAGATATCTCCAACCCCTTCTCCACCAGTTCTTTGGGGTGGAGGGAACACAGGGGCTGCTGCAGACCCAAGCCTCCCACAGAGCTATGATACCATCCCATCCCTCCAAGCATCCCAGGACGCGGTTTAGTGGGTATGGTGGTGATGGGCCTACAGTTGGACTTGATGATCTTGGAGGTCTTTTCCAACCTTAATGATTCCGTGATTCTATTTAGGGACGTGGTTTAGAGGGTATGGTGGGGATAGCTCAACAGTTGGACTCGATGATCTTAGAGGTCTTTTCCAGCCTTAGTCATTCTATGATTCTGTTTAGAGATGTGGTGTGGGCATGATGGGGGTGGACCAACAGTTGGACTTGGTGATCTTGGAAGTCTTTTCCAACCCCCCTGATTCTATGATTCTATATGAATCGGCATGGTGGTGATGGGTTGACTGTTGGACTTGATGATCCTAAAGGTCTTCCAACTTCATTGATTCTGTGTCTACTTCACGGCATGGAAACTGCTCTTTGCTGGCCAGAAAGTGGCCTACTGGGCTGCTGGTCGTGTCTAGATCACCTCTTTGCTCTCCAGGTTTTGGAGCCATGGGACTATGGGTGCTCCCTCTGACACCAAAAAGGTCAAAAGGACAAAAAAGTCCCTTCCACCTTCCCCATCCCCATGAGACCCACGCCTACATACCCGGATCTCTGTCGTCACAGGGCACTTGATCAGCTTGAAATTCTTGCCCATGTTGAAGCTGTTGCTGTAGAAGCACACCTTGAGGATGCGCATCTCCTCCCTGTCCTCCTCCAGAGTCCCCATGCCCAGGTTGGCTTCCAGAGTCCCAGCCAGACTGCGGAAGGAGCTGCTCCGTGGGCGGCCCAGGGGCTCAGGAAGGGCTGACATGCTCATGGCCGGGGGGGTGCTAGGGGCTGAGCATCCCTTCCCTGCAGGGAGACAACATGTGTCACTACATGGGGACACCTGGGGCAGGTGGGGAGAGGGGGAAAGGAAGGAGGGATAGGAAGGAGAAGATGGAGACAAAGGAGTGCGACAAAAGGGACCTCTGGAGAATCACCTCTGCATCCATGTCACTTCCAGAGTAACATCTCTGTATCTGTTACCCCCAGAGCAATGCTCCTATGTTTCCAGCACCTCCAGAACCAACACCTCCACTTGTCCAGCACCTCCATGGCAATGTGCCCATTTGGTCCCAGCACCACCAGTGCAAAATCTTTACATCCCCAGCACCACCAGAACAATGTCCCTATGTCCCCAGCACCTCTGGAGCAACATCTTCGTGCCCCCAGCATGTTTTTGCATTTCTGGAGCAATGCATTTGTGTTCCCATCACCTTCAGAGCAACACTCTTGTGTCCCTACCACCTCCAGAGCAACATTGCTGTGTCTCTGTTACCTCTGGAGCAACAGCTCTTTGTCCCCATCATATCTGGAGCAATGTCCCTGTGTCCCCAGAACCTTCAGAACAACGTGCCCACATGTACCCAGCACCTCTGGGGCAGCACCTCTACATCCCTATCACCTTCAGAGTAACACCCAAATGTCCCCATCACCTCCAGAGCAATATCTCTGTGACCCCATCCCCTCACAAACAACATCTTTTCACCCCACCACCTCCAGAGCAGCACACCCATGTTTCTCCATCTCCATTAGCTGGAATAATGAACCCCTCCTGCTCCAGCATCCCTCACCCAGCCCCTCACTCACCCCCAAAATCCAAGGCAAGCCTGTTTGTGCTCTGCAGCGTGGGACAGTGCAGTGTGACCCCCCCGGGCAGAGCTGCATTTAGCAGAGGGCTTTTTGCAGAGCAAAATGGGGCAAGCAGCTCGGACTCATCCGCACCCGCAAGGGCGATAGTTATTTATATTGATCAGCTCTTTTATTTTTAGAGGGCAAACAATCTAGAAGCTTGCTCAGAAATGTCCCTTGGGCCGGAACTGAAGTGGTTTGGCTTTTCATTTTGCTGAGAACTACTGGAAACCACATCTAGCCTGCGTTGATCTAACAAATCCCAAGCAAGTCTCGGTTGTCCTCCTTTATTTTGTGGGGAATTTCTGGGCTGTGAGCAGGGCACAAGGAATGGCAAAGGCACTGCTTGCCCCATCCCTTTGCATGCAGCCGGGCTGAGGCCGGGCACACTCAGTGCACACATATCACCAGCAGTCAAGAGGCACTTCTCAGCTATGAAACAGCCAACATGGAAGTTCAGTCCAGGGGCCTCTCCCTCCTTGAGCTCAGCCCTCCAGTTACTCATTAAACAGGTCCAGAGCTGTTTGCAAACAGGAGCACAGGTGGCCCATGGGTTACCCCAGGTTTGCTGCAGGGAATGGCCCCAAGGAGGGAGTCCTGGGCATGGGGAGGAGCTGAGAGGGACTGGGAAAGCACAGAGAGGACAGGGACTATGCTGGGGGTCTGCCCTGCAGCAGGTTCTATGGGGATATGGAGGCAGGTGGATGACATGGGGACATGGAGGCAGATGGGTGACGTGGGGACCTGCAAGCAAGTGGGTGACAATGGGACCTGAAGGCAGATGGGTGACATGGGGACCTGATGGTGCTGCAGGCAGGGCACAGCGTGGGTGGCATCAGCAGGGTCTGTGCTCTCCCCATGGCACTGTGAGGTTGTGACACCCTCTGGTGCAGCTGGGGACAGTGTGACAGCCATCCCATGGTGCCCCAATGGACGCCAGCAGGGGACAGGCAGCATTTCCCAGGGTCTGGCTTTGCTCTGGTGGTGCCACAGTGCAACCACAACCTGGGGGGCCACCAGCACGTGCACGTGCTCTCACACACGCTTTCACACCGGGTTATTTCTCATTGTATGAGGGGGGTCTTGTGGTGCTAGCTGGCGGCTTCCTGTTCGCTGTGCTGAAAACAGCCATAGGATTGAGCAGAATTAGCAACCCCTGGCCCAGCCCTCAGCTTTCCTTTTCGGGTTTGCCACAAAAGCTCACTGCACGAAAGCGTCGCCTCTTCTCCCAGCCTTGATTTCTCACCTCGCCAAATTTGTTCACACAGCATCACCATCCCAACGCATCCCTTTGTGTGGGGCTGAGCTGATGTCCCCTTCCCCTGGGTACCCCCACGAGGACCTGACCACTTGCAGCCCTTTGGGTGGAGAAGGGGCCCCAACCCCAACCCCATCCCCTGCCCCCACCTCACATCAGCACAGTGACACAGCCCACAGCAGCACAGCTCTGTCCCCAGTGCGGCAGTAGCATTTGGGGACAACCTGCCGTAAGGGGACAGAGATGACCATGCAACGCTTCCACCACCAAGCCCTGTTCCCCCACAGCCCCTTCCCAACCCCTCAGGCTGGGACACCCCCGACATCCCCGTTGCGCTCTGCCCCATACCAGGAAGTCCCTCTGGGTGCTCCCACGCACTCCTGAGACGTGGAAAAGTGTCAGACTCGGCGCTGTTCCCTCCAACCCTACCCCAAATCTCAGCTGCACCATGGAGTGACCCATCCTCACACACCGGGGGATGGGTTGGACCCCCCTGGACCTCAGCTCGGAGTGACGAGTTTGCCCTTTCTCAGCTTGCCTCCCACCCCAACACCCGCACAAAGGGCGAAGGTTCTGTGCCCCACTGCTCCCTATGGGGCACCCAGGGCAAGGGTAAGAGGGGGTGAGCGGCACTTACAGTGAGGTGGCCGTTCCTTGTCCCCACCCCGAGCTGACGGAGCTGCTGCTGCTTCCTGCTGTGTGCGGAGGCATTTGCATAGCACCCAACAGGCGGCTCACGCATGTGCCCACATGTGCGTAGGTGGGGAAACTGAGGCACGGTTCACCCAAACCCCCCCGCTCCCTCCCCCCCATTGCCCCAAAACTACTGCGTTGGCCCCAACCCGTTGCATTTCCACCCCCTAAGTGCCAGCTTTGGGGCTGCAAGCCCCCCTCCTTCCCAAGCGCAGGGACGACTAGGACCCACCCACCATTTACCTCGTCCCTTCAGCAGGGTCCCGTTTCCATGCCACGGTGTGGGACAGATAGGGGGACCCTACAGCCGCCCGCCTCGCCCCGGCCCTGCCCTGCCTCATTGGTGCAGGTATTTCAGTGACTCACAGTGGATTGTTATGGTTCCGGGGGAGCAGAGAGGCTCCTGCAGGGGTTGAGGCAGTGGCACCTATAGCATTGCACCGCAGCACCCACACCTGGAGGCTGTGTCCTATAACCGGGGCTGCACCACCCCACGGAGACCCACAGCACAGGCTGCGTGCCTCAGTTTCTCTTTCCTTCTGTCAGCCCCGGGGCGGAGGAATCTGGACACCAAGGAACGCTCCGGGGCACACCTGCCTTATCTCAAACGCCTGCTCCCCATATCTGCCCCAATCTGCCCAGCTCCCATCCATCACTTCAGCCCTGTCCCCAGCGGGGAGCAGGATGTCACCACCCAACCCCCCACCTCATGCATCCAACCCCCAAATCCAGGGGTCTGCATTCATTCCAGCCCTGTAGTGGGGCAGTGGGGAGAAGGAAAACCCTGGCAGCAACTTCAACAGGCAGTGTTGGTTCTGGATGCTGGCTGGATGGGTTTGGAGTGCTGGATTTGGGCCACATGTGACAGCCCCATCAGAGGAAGGACGTGTTTCGCAAAGCAAAGGAAGTGACACACACTGCAACGGTGGGACAGGTTGCCCCAGGGGGGTTGGAGGGCTGCCCTCTCTGCTTGCAGACCCCAAAATCATTTGCAGATCCCAAAACCACTTGTAGATCCCCAAAGTGCTGGCAGACAGCCCAAAACACCAAAAACTCAACAGCCCAAAACGCTAGCCTCAATAAGCATCCACTGGACATCCTCACCATCAAGGCTGGCTCCTAATACATTTCTACCCATTTGATGCTTTGCTTACTGCAATTACAACTCCCTTCGTTGTGCCTCCTATGGAGGGTTTAAGCATTCCACCAGGATGCACTCCTGTTTTCAGAGGTGCACCTTCATTTTCAGAGAATCACCCCCACTTTTAGAGATGCACCTCCATTTTCAGACGTGTGGTTCATTTTCAGAAATGAACCCCCATTTTCAGAGATGCACCCTTATTTTCAGAGACGCACTCATATTTTCAGAGATGAAAATCATTTTCAGACATGTACCCCACTTTCAGAGATGTATCTCTGTTTTCAGAGGTGTGCTCCCACTTTCAGAAAATCACTCCCATTTCCAGACATGTACCCCAATTTCAGAAATGCACCTCCATTTTCAGAGACACGCCCCCATTTTCAGAGATGCATCCCATTGTTCAGGGAGGCATTCCCATTTTCAGAGATCCATCCCCATTTTCAGAGATGCACTCCCATTTTCAGGGATGCACTCTCATTTTCAGAGAACCACCTCTATTTCAAGAGAGGAGCTCTTATTTCCAGAGATGCGCCCCCATTTCCAGAGATGCACCCCATTTTCAGAGATGCAATCCCATTTTCCAAGTGGGAAAACACTGCTACGGGTGTTTCTGGGTGCAGGAACAGCTCAGGAAGCCCCCTCCCCCCAGCCCCAGCTCTGCACCAAGCAGCTGGGTATGGCGATACGTGCAGCCCTGCTGAGGAATCAGAATCGAGACGCTGTGCTGCCATCACGCCCACAGCCGGAGCTCGCTGAAGAGGTGACTCAGGCACGGGGGAAAGATCTGCGTGTTCTGTCTGCGTTGTGTTTCTGTCCCAGCAAGGGGACAAGGCAGGGCCATCTGGGCTCCCTGCGAGGCTCCCTTACCAGTACATCACCCCCTCCCAGTGCAAGGCAATGGGGAGGGGAAAGCAAGGACATGGCTTTGGAGGCAAAATGTCCCCAATGAGCTGCTGTCAGCTCTCCCCTTGAGGGGGTCTCAAACCTGAACCCACTGCAGTGCCCATGAAGAGTCCTCCCTAAAAGCCTCCAACATCAGCAGCAACCACGTGGAACCTGCAGTTTTCCATCACAACCTTGAGTGAAATGGGATAAAATCAATCGCTTTCCCTGCTGAATGTTTTCAGTGTATGGGACCTGCAGGACCACGTTCCCAGGGCCCCATAGGTGTGCCCTAACCTTGCACTGAATCTCAGTGCTCTCACTCATCCTCACAATTAACGCAATTACTGCTTGGCCAAGTGATAATGCAACTACCACTTGGTTATTTCTTGGATTTCCCCTAGCAAACCAAGGCACGGCAGCACGGAACACAAGGGTTGAGCACACACCAGCAGCTCCCAAAATCAAGCTGGGTGGGGGGTAGGTGAAGGCATCCATGGGGGATGAGGGTGGAAGGGGCTGAGAACAGCGCCAGGGCAGCAGCGGGGTTCAGCTGCAGCCTTCCCCATCCAGCACTGCTCCCGCAGCTCCGCCAGCCTAAAAATAATCTCGAGCAGCACCGAAAGCTTGGGGAGGGGAGCAGCTTCCCAGGAACAGGGTGGGCGTATTTCCCGGTAACCTTTCAGCGCCAGAAGGAAGCGGAGGGCTTTGCAGCACCATTGGTTGGCACAGCTGGTACCGGTCGCTAGGCATCACTGTCACCAGGCAACCTGCAGGAACGCGATGCTGCTCCTGCATCTTTGGGGTGGGCAGGGAATGGGGGCACGGGGCAGGAGCTCTGCTTGTGTCCCACCCCACTGCAGGCGCTGCTGCAAAACCATACAGCCCCCAGCACCTGTTTCTGCCAGGCTGATGGGTGCTAGAGCTAATTACACTCCTGATATTCACGCTAGCTTCAGTAGGGAAACTCATCTCCTCCAAAACTTCGAAATTCCCAGGCAGGCCGTGGCATTTTTGGCAGAAATCACACAAAAGAATGCAAAGCCGCAGGTTCTGCAGCACAGCCCTTCCCCTCCGGCACCAGGAATTGTCAGAGACGCATCCCCATTTCCAGAGATGTACTCGTATGTTCAGAGATGTGCTCCCATTTTTGGTGATCCACTCCTCTTTTCAGAAATGCATTCCTATTTTCAGGAACGCATCTCTATTTCCAGACATGCACCCCCCATTTCCAGAGATGTACCCCCCCATTTTCAGGGACGCACCTCTGTTTCCACACACACACTCCGTTTGCAGAGATGCACCCCTATTTTCAGAGATTCATCCCCATTTTCAGAGATCCGATGCACTTTCAGGGACACATCCCTACTTTTAGATATAGTCCCATTTTCAGAGACAGACATCTCCCATTTTAGGAGATATACCCCCATTTCCAGAGTTGCATCTCAAGCCCAAACCACAGCCCCAATCCCTGGAAAAATCAGTCACCTCACGCTCAGAAGTCACCCCTGAGCCCCTTCTCCAAGCAATTTCTTCTTCCCAGTGGCCACAACTCACTACAAAATATTTGTGCAACATTTGCAGGATCACATCCCGCAGTGCCACTCACGTTATCTGGGCTGGATGCAACATGGCTGCATCTGCATGGTGGTTGTGCACAGTGGTGGTCGTGCACTGTGCTTGTTAGATGTGCACTGTGTTCGTTAGACGTGCATTGCATTAGTTGTGCATTGTATTCGATGTGCATTGTGTCAGATGTGCATTGTGGTGGCTGCACACTGTGGCAGTGCAGGTGCACAGCACTGTGTAGATGCACAGGGCTCAGGAAGTGGTGCAGCTCCCAGCTGTGGCCGCTGACTGAAGCTTCAGTGGGGACTGGGAGGTTTCCCAGTGGCTCACGGGAGCTGTGCGCATCACCAAGTGTTCCTCTTCCCTCTTTGCAGCCTCTTCCCCAAACAGAGCACTGTGGCCCTTCCCTCCAGCAGCGTGCTGCCCCTATATGACCACAAACCCCCAAATTTTGCCCCCCACAGTTCCATAGGGAAACACATCCCTGTGGGTTTTGGGCTGAGCCCCCTTCTGCTGCTCCTCAGAGAAAGGGGCCTGAGCACGGCATGCTGCTGCAGGATGGAACGTAGCAACACTTCCCACGGAAGGTTCACGTCTATTCCTCGTGAGTAATAAGTGTGCCAGGGAAAAAGCAACATGATTCAGATGGCGTTTCCCCAGCCCCCATCGCCTGCACGAGCCTGAGCATGGAGCACTGAAAAATGGCTAAGCACAAAGGCATGGAGATGTGGAGCCTGGGGATGGCAGCACTGCGCCCCATGCACGCACCAACAACGCCATGGGCTTATGCATCCCTCCCTGTCCTTTGCAGACTGGAAGGCCTGCAGCCCCTTATCCCACTTGGGTGCTCCTGCGTGGACACCTTTGCGCTGTGCATCCCATACAGTGTGCTCCTGCATGAACACTGCTGCTCCATGCATCCATCCCCACGCACCCAGGCTGGATGCTGTCCCCTGAACCACGCTGATATGCCATGTACATCTGCTGTAGGTACAATAGGTGGAAATGGGACCATTCCTGGTGTGTCCCTGTTCCTCACCAAGGCCCTGTCCCACTCAGGAAGGCTCTCACAGCACTCCTGCTCAGGAAGCCCTAGGATGCCCCCTGGCCCAGCCTGGCTGAGCTCTCCCCACCTCTCACATAACACCAGAGCCCCATGCCTGGTGCTCCATCCCACCCCCTGCTCTGGCCCAGCTCTCAGACACTCTCTCTCTTGGAGGACCCACCAACAGGACCCTCCCCACCAGGAGATGCAGGCAGTTCCCCGCAGCACCGCCTGCATAGGGCCAGGTTTGGAGGAGCAACACATCCTGCTTGGATGACATATCCCAAAGCCAACAGCGATGAAACTCCACCGAGCAGCACCCAGAGCAGCCCACAGGCACCCAGTGTCGCATCAGCCCCTCTCGCCCTCCCAGCCCTCCCATCCCCAGCGTTCTCCCCGTGACGACGATGCTGGCACACACCACCCAACGCTTAGGCAAACATCACAGCACCTCCCGCCCCGCTGCGGCCCAGCTCGCCCCGAGCACGGAGACGCAACGTCCCACTCCCACTTCCTGCCCTCGGCTCTGCGTTTCCCCCTTCTTTTTTTGCACTGTGCTCCCCAAAGTGAGCAGAGCTGCTCACCTTGGCGCTGCCTTCGCCCCCACTGGCCCTGGGGCAGCGTGTCCCGTGCTGGAATCAATGTTGAAACCACTCCTCCCCACCGCCCGCTTCCGGATGAGGCCACGA